CTCAGCATGTTGATTTTCGTTCATTTAGAAGTTGTTTTCAGAACCCAGCTTAGGCCTTGGATATCTCCTTTTCTTGATCTTTAACACACACGCACACATAGAATTTGAAGGGAGGGCTGCACTAGTTTATGTATAGATTGTAAAGCTGAGTATGACTTTTCAGGTTTTGGAAACAAATAGAGCCGAGGAGTCTCAGAGTCATGTGCACAGAATGTATTTTATGGGCCGTAATACTTTCAGTGAGCCTTGGCATCTTCCCCACACTCCTCCTGACCAAATAAAAGAGATTGTGTAAGTTAATTCTCCCACTGTTTTTAACTGGAATGGCTCAATTGATTCTGTTCTCCCTAGCTTCAGGTTGTAAACATTGTAAAACTATGTTCACCTTATTTTTGGGGCTTGCCAGATATGAGGGTGCATTCAATACGTTTGTGGATGAGATTAATGGTATAGCTTCTTATCAATGGTGGGAAGGTGCAATTTACAGCATACTTTCTGTTCTCGTGTACCCCCTTGCATGGTCATGGCAGCAGTGGAGGCGGAGGATTAAATTGCAGAGATTGCGCGAGTTTGTTCGATCGGGGTATGACCATGCTTGCTTGCGCTCTTGCCGTTCACGGGCTCTCTATGAAGGGCTTAAGGTTTGTTTGTATGAAAGATTAGTGTGGTGTTAGTTTAAGTCAGGTAGTTGAATGTTTGCATGGTGACTTTCTTTTGCCTGTCCACACCTCATTTTTTCTGTTCATTTTCCCTTCAAATGTGCCTGTCATGTGACTTGTTTTTGGTAGTAGTAGTTTTAAATTTTGTTGCATATGCATCAAAACTTTAGATTATTACTGTTATTGTACTTGTTTTGAATATTATTTTTAAGTGCTGGAGAGGGCGAGATGTTCTATTGTTGTGTATCAATTCGAAACTTTTTTTTTTTGGAGATTCAAGGCATAATATATATATCCCTTCAAAAACTTAAGACCTTGTGGAGATGAACCATAAATATTTGGCTCAAGTATGGTCTTTGTTCTCTAGGTAGCTGCAACTTCTGATTTAATGCTTGCATACTTGGATTTCTTCCTTGGTGGAGATGAGAAAAGAACTGATATTCCTGCTCGCCTACGTCAAAGATTTCCAATGTCTATACTTTTTGGAGGTGATGGAAGTTACATGGCTCCTTTCTCGATTCAAAGTGACAATATTCTTACTAGTCTTATGAGCCAGGTTTGATGTTTCCTCCCAAGAACTCAAAGCTAAAAAGTTTGTCGTTTACATTTTTAAGGTTAGGGAGGTAGGTTTAGCTTGACCAACATATTGCAGTTTGTAGCTCAAAAAATTGATTGACTATTTTCCTTGTGGCTTTTAGATGGTCCCTCCTACCACTTGGTATCGAATGGCTGCTGGTTTGAATGCACAACTCCGCTTAGTTCGTCGTGGGAGGCTAAGAGTAACTTTTCGTCCTGTCCTTAGATGGCTTGAAACGCACGCCAATCCAGCCTTGAGAAGCCATGGTGTGCATGTTGATCTTGCGTGGTTTCAGGCTACTACTTCTGGTCATTGCCAGTATGGACTTTTGGTTTATGCTGTTGAAGAAGAAAGCGAACATGCATCTGTTGAAGGGATTGATGGCGCAAAACAAATTGAAGAAGAATCACGGTAATGGTTCATTATGTGTTATTGGGGTACACTTTCCATTCATCTGACGAGCCTCCTGAATTTTTAGCTAGTAACCTGTCGATATTAGTAACCAACTAGTGTATGTCCGCTGGCTGTTTGGGTCAATCAGGGTGTATAATATTATGGTGAGGTGTCCTTATTCTGAATTATCGCAAGCGTGGAAGTGGTGAAATGATGACTATATAACACAATTTTTGCCAGTTTGCCATCAAAAAGCTATAAACCAATTCGTGTGGTATGACCAGAGCAGAATAGAGTAAAAGGTAGTAGAAAGTTTAGACATGCACTCATTGCAGAGAGGCATTAATGAACATGCGTGGAATATGAGGTGGTATGGCATAGACCTTTGTAGATTCTTATGCGTTTACATGTCAATTAAAAAGCACATTGACCTACATGGTGAACTTTCAGCAGATAGTTAAGAGAAAATAGTTATAAGGTGCACATTTTTGCAGTTACGTGTATATGCATATTGCCATGCATTTAATTTTGAATGAATGGCATTTGACTTGGTTTTGTCCTGTCTCTTGGTTAGTGGTGTGAAGAATACATACCAAGAAAATCTATCTGGTCGTTTGAGAGAGGAGATGCTTGTATCTCAAGCCCAAAGAAGCAGGGACGGTTACATCAGGCGGAAAAAGAGTTATGGGGGGATTATAGACACTAACAGCTTAAGGATGCTTGAAGAGAAGAGGGATTTATTTTACCTCATCTCTTTCATAGTTCACAACACTAAACCTGTTGGCCATCAGGTTGCTTTTGTATTAATGAGTTAAATACATATTCATTAAGTTTACAAGCAGTTCAACTTACTTCATCTTTGCTCTCTCGTCTTCTTGCAGGATCTTGTTGGTTTGGTCATCTCTATGCTTCTTTTAGGAGATTTTAGCTTAGTGTTGCTTACTTTACTCCAGCTGTATTCAATTTCATTGCTGGATGTCTTTCTGGTTTTGTTCATTTTACCTCTTAGCATTCTTATGCCCTTTCCTGCGGGGATCAATGCTTTATTCAGCCATGGACCTAGGCGCTCTGCAGGCCTTGCACGGATCTATGCTTTGTGGAATGTTACATCCTTGATTAATGTTGTAAGTTGCCATATCTATCCACGTTATCACTTTATTCTTCAATCATACCAGCAACCCAACATAGTTTTTGCTACTAGTTATTTCAGTTTCAGAACAAGTGATCTGTTCTTCATCTTCTGTTAAGGAATAATTTTCACAACCTTTCCTTTGACCTTCTGCCAGGTTGTTGCATTTATTTGTGGATATATTCACTATAACAGTCAATCATCCTCGAGTAAGAAGTTCCCCTTTCAGCCATGGAATATTAACATGTAAGTTGATTCTGTAGCTTCCAGAAAGTACAGTTAATTGGCAAGTTGGAGTGAGAGTACCAATAACTTGGTTCTGCACCTATTTTTCTGTGGTGTTTGTATTGCAGGGATGAAAGTGAATGGTGGATTTTTCCAGCTGGACTTGTTGTGTGTAAAATTTTGCAGTCTCAACTTGTTAATTGGCACATTGCAAATCTGGAGATCCAAGACCGCTCGCTGTATAGTAACGATTTTGAGCTGTTCTGGCAGTCATGATAATATGTCAAAGACATATTCCACATTGACGATGAGGGTTCTTTCTCCTCTTCTTTTGTATGCATTTTGAGAGCACTAGGCAAATGGTTGACACAGATGTAGGAATAGAAAACAGGAAAAAAAAAAATATAAATAGGGTGAGCATTCGTTGTTGTAATTTCTTCTAAACGTGTAGTCACACATTCTCTTTTCATTTTGCCATGTAGAATTCAATGTAAATATGAAAGGGTAATGCCCGTTCCTTATTGAATCCAGTTTGTATATGTGCTGATCTTTAACACCAAAGAGCATCAATCGGATTTCTCACAAAATGTTATGGAAAATCTATTCTCTTGTTTTACATGAACAGCTTGAATTAATTCGAGGAACCATAATATGCCTAGAAAGAACAAAGTGATAATTTACTCAATTTGCATGCTTCTAAATTTCTAATGTTTCAGCGAGGCCTGTGGATGCTAGCATTGATGATTGTTTATGTAGAAGTGTTAAAAAAGAGTTGTTAATATATGAAATAGTTTATGCAGGCAGGCGCAATCTTGGCAAATGGATGAGATTAAGCAGTAAAAATATGACGACTGGATCTCTATATAAACTATGCGTATGACTTGCATTAATCCTTTCAATGTCTAACCATGCACTTCATTCTACTCAAGTTCATTTGATTGGTTGAATTCTGAGCGGTAACTGAGTGCAGACTCGAGCAAGCAAAACTCACCTCTTATCTTACCGCGACAACATCCTTGCATACTCGATTCATATCCTTATTCTGAACTCGACTCAATATATTTACCTCTGCTCATTATCCTACCACTTTTGTTGCCCAACGGGCACAGTCGCCAAAGTTCTGGCTCGCTTTTATCTTTACAAAGCAAATAAATAAATAACGCTCAAATACCTGCAAGTCGGGAGATTGTAACAAGTCCGTTCCAACTACGATTTTCTTTTTTCTTTCTGGAATAACTAAGATATTCAACGGAAATGCAACTATTCCTGTATTTTTTTTTTACTAGTTCTTGACCATAACGAAAGCCTATCCAGGAGTTCGAGGGAATATCCCGAACACAAATTGAAGAAAATGTGACTAGCCATGTTCTTTGAAAATGAGCCTAACGCTCGAGCTCAAACTCCTTGAAAAAGTGACAAACGTGGCTTTGATACAAGCAGCTTACTGCACTGTCTATGGCCAGGTAAACTTGATCATGGACAAAGATTATGTGACTAGCTGGAGAATTGTTCACGCTAATGCTGCCAAAGGTTCCCCATGTGCAAAGTTGCACCATAATCTCTCTTTAGTTCTGCGATATGGGAAAAAAAAAAAAAAAAAGACAGATCAATTATGCAATAATCATTGCACATATCATCATAATAAATGAAATTTCATGAGCCTTGGTTGATATCCTAAGAATAATCATTCTATGTGAAAAACATTCCTCATTCTAAGTTATGTATCTCGAGAGTCGGAGTTGGGGATGGAATGTGATTATAATAATGGTTGAGTCCTTGACTACAATCCCAAAATCACATTCGAGACTTCAAAGGAAAAGGCTTGTATGAAAGATCCATTAGTAAAATTGCCACTTCACTGCACAACACAGAAATGTGAAATAACCGACAAATAAAGACAATAAATAGCCAAAAAAACAGCAATTTTAAGAGGTTTTTTTCCGCCTATATGCCTAAAGGACCATACTCCCATTGTTGTTAATGGTACATTCAAAGAAAACAACTTACCTAAATAGTGTTACTCCTTGTTCAAAACTTTGGGAACTTTGATGTAAGGATCCTCATAGTTTGGTACAGCATCAATGATTGCTTCCCTGTTGGATGGACATTTAAACACGCATCAACTGTATTATAACAGTGCCCATCTTGAAAGAACATTATACAAAAAAAATGAGAAAAAACCCATCAATAACCTGTTCGCAAATGTTTCAGGATCATCATGACGCAAGTTATCACCTTCAGTGTCTGCAGGTTCAACATAAGACAGTAAAATTTAAATCTGCTATGTGTATGCTATAAAACTCTAGGAATGCTACAACAGACAAACACTTTCCCTCCCTTTTATTTAATGATTAAGAACTCGCTGCAAAAAAAAATCACTTTTTAAATATGTGGTTCGTCAGTCTAAATGACAAAAAGCATGGTGAACGGCTTTCTATCATATCACAAGTTCAACAAAGGAAGACCTCAAGGAAGGGAATTTGAATTTCTTCATCATACCACAATCATACCAAATAAGAATAAAATGTGCCAATTCTTAAAGCAAAGGAAGAGCGGACAAGTGATGATAGAACTCAATTGGGTTAGCTCACGTTTTTACAATTTTCCATCTCCATTCACGCTGCCAAGGAATTCTTTCATCGGCTTATAAATTACTGTCCCATTGGGTAGAGAAAGCAGAATGTGATAGAAATTTTGCCAAGAAAACTAACAAATAGCCCTCACCAAATTCTTAAAAAAACTAACTACCATGTCCCGTCCAATCTCAATAATCTCATTTGACCCTTCATTCCAATCTCATAAGATCCATGTTTTACATTTTTTAGAAACCACTTTATTGTTTAAGCAAGCAATAAAACTCTGACAGCATACAAGGATTATAAAGCACCTGCTCTAATTGAGGGTTCCACACTATCCAGATCAACAGCTTGAAGTTGTCCAAACCTGACATAAATAACCAAAAGCAATCCCCAAAAAGTCACAAAACACGAACATATCACTTGAAATTGAAAGAGACAGAGGAGCATACCAATCAATCACTTGTCGAATTTTAGGACCGAATTCTTCGACCTGAAATTGAAGAAAACAAGAAAAACCCAGTACATTAAATGAACAAGAAAGTAAGTTTTGAGGCATAAGAGTCAAATGTAGAGGAAAAAAACCTGTTGTGGGGTGAGTGAAATTCTAGCAGTTTCAGCCAAGCGAGCTACATCTGGTGGTTCAAGAGAGGACCCATTCGCTGTTGCTTTTGTTGTGAATTTTCGTATTGAAGGAGCAGAGATGCATTTTTTGCAGTTGAAAAGGAAGAGGATGTTATGCTTTGGCGGTGATGGTCCTTTGAGTAGCAACAAAGCTCTGCTTCCCATTTTCTTTTTGATGGATTTTCTTGGACTCAAAAGTTTTCCCTATCCTTCATAAATTTTAATTCGCCCCCCATCCCACCTAAAAAAGGATTTTTACTTTTTTATCAATCAGCCTCTTCAGCTTTTGTTATCGTTTTAATCCCCCCTCCATCCTTTTCCCCTTATGAATTGGAATGAAAAATATATAAATATTTTAATTTCATACCTAAAGTTTATAAAATATATAAATGAAAATCACTTAAAAAAACAGTCTGAACAATACTAATAATAACCTCACGTCACTTAGTTTTTCTGTTCTCAATATTTGTTTTTCCAAACAACATATTTGATCCTCCATACTAGTTTTTTTTTTAAAAAAAAAAAAATTGCAATGAATTTAGAACAATTAGAAAGTTTTAAAAACCAACAGTACATAATAACTTCAGCATATAGAAGTTAAAAAATGCTTAAAAAATATATATATTTCTTTAGAAGCCAATAGTATGGAGTATTTTTTTTTAGGTGGATCTTGATTAATTATTTTTTATTTTGCATAATCGTCTTGATTAACTATTAGAAAAAAAGAAGAAGAAATTTTAGCTTTTTTTTTTTTACTCTATTAATTAATTATTGAATCATAAACTAGCAAATTGCACCAAAGGAGAGAGAGTCAGAGAATGTGGGAATCTTGAAACTTGAAAGTTTTCAACGATAATAATTTTAGTTATTTTTTAGAATTTTTGTACTTCAAAATTAGTTGGAAACTTCGTTCTTCTTTTCATGTTTAGATAATTTAAATTGAGTAAAACTTAGTCAATTTGAACCTTGTGTCAATCATTTAAAGCGCTAACCCCAACCCTAGACATGGTGGCTTCTCAAAAAGGATGTGGAAGGAGGGCTTCATTGTCAACAAAATAAACAAAGAAGGACTGGATAGTTCAAATTAATAATAGGGAACTCAATTAATCAAATTAGGAAAATACATGGACGACGTGCGTAATTAACCTAAACGAATTGCGTTTGACTAAAACTGTCATGTAAGCACACAGGTCTCAGCAAAATTGACGTGCAGTAGCCAATGAAAAGCACCAAAACATCCAACTCACTCTCTCTCTCTCTCTCTCTCTCTCTCTCTCCCCCCCTCCCTCCCTTCTTTTCTTGTTTTTCCAAACAAAACGCTTCCTTAGTTTCAGACCAAAAACCTCACCACACAGAGAAATCACTCACTTCAAGTTCAATTCGACAGAAGAGAAGAGGAAGAAGGAAAATATAGTACTCCTATTCTAGTCAAAATTAAAAAAGCGACACGAAGATTCTTCTTGTAAGAACCACATAAAAAAAAATGCATTCGTTCGGATACAGAGCGAACGCGTTGCTAACGTTCGCCTTGACTATACTGGCCTTAATGTGTGCCCTCGCTTCTTTCTCTGACAACTTCAATTTTCCTTCTCCTTCTGCCGAAATCCAGGTAGGAGTCTTATTCTGTCCGTTTAATGTTGTTTGGATCTAATTGCAACTTTGAAATCATGGTTTATTTATTTATTTGGGGTTTTGTAGATAGTGAAATTCAATTGGTTTCAAAAGCAGCCACATGGAAATGATGAGGTAGTTGATTCTTTCTTTACTTTTTTTTTTTTTTAAGATTTTGTTTTGTATAAATTTATGGGATTATCATAATTTTGCTTATTATTGTTTTTAATTGTTTAAATGGAATTTGTAATTAAAGAAAGAAGAAGTTACTTTTGGGTTCAATTTGTTGCTATTTATAAAATGCTGCGTGGGTTTTTTTTATAGGTGTATGGATTTATGTGTAAGCAGGTTTCAAATTCTGGTTAATTTTTCAGATTAAAGTTGCATAATTTGTTTGTATTGATTTGTTGACTTGAGTTTTCAGTATTTTTATTGATTTAGCTTAAAATGTATTTTATTTTGTTTTGTTTTGGTCAATATTATAAGAATGGGTCTTAGAGTTGGCATTCTCTTAATTGGTTTGATCTTATGTTTGTTAGTGTGCTTAGGTTCTAGTTCGTCTGGCCGATTCAAGCAACTAAAAGATATTCTCTTGGTTTTCACTTTCCAAAAACCCTAATGTTAAAAGATTCACTTAGGTAGAGATTTTGAAAATTGAGTAGAACAATCCCATTTCTCCTGCTTAATACTGGTCTAGACTTGATTTCACGTCTAGTAATTGTTAACATGCATGACCATGGTCATTACTAAACCTACAAGAAAAGTTTTCAGCTTATATGACGATTTGCCTTGAATCTTTGTTATGGAAGAGCTTAGTCCCAAAGGGTTTTGATGCTAACTTCATGGGTGTAGCAAACCATCTCACAAGCATTTGTTTGGTTCATGCATGTGCTATCTACTTTGATTGACATTGATCACAATATACTAAAATTTACAGAAAATTCTGATAGCATTAGAATCGTTGAATGCAGGATTGAAGTAGTTTACAACTTGGTACATGATGTTTTGGAGTCAACTGATATTAGAACAGAACTTCTGTAACCAGTGTTGCATCTTTAACTGTTCAGCTTATATACTGGATATGGCCTATTACAATATGTTTGTTTTCTTTTTCAAGAAATTTGAATCAAAAGTTGATCACTTCTTCCGTCTTGCAAGATATTTGAGTTATTTTCTACTTATTGGTTGGAAAAGTGCTAAAAACATACACAAGGGGAAGGGATGCACTTGTACCTGTTGACCATTGAGTTATATTGGATCATCTTCTTGGCTTTCTGTGCCTATGCATAAAAGTTTTGAAGATGGAAGGAATGCTGGTTGAGAGAACATCTGATTGGGTGGGGCATGTAAGTTTGCAGGATGGTGGAATTTTTTCTTCCAGAAGACCGGTCTGCTTGATTGTGTTGTCCTTCCTTGTTCATCTAACTATCTTAAGATAGTTTATGATTGCCAAACCATCTTTCATTTTAGATGCATTAGTGTAGATGCAGGAACTTTATTCTGGATCACTTGATAAGCTAGCAATGATTTAACACTAATTTAACTGCCCATCATTTAATGCAGGTCAGCCTCACCCTGAATATAACAGCTGATTTACAATCACTGTTTACATGGAACACAAAGCAGGTATGTAAGTTGAAATACGAGTATATGTGCTTCTCCTTGGTGATAGGTGTTATAGTCTTTTCATTTCAGAGTTGTAAATCTTTGACTCTCATGCTGAGGCAAGCCAGCAGGCTGTTCCATGAGTGTCATCAGAGTAGCGAGTACGTCTTATTTACTGAACCAGTGGCTCTCTATTATAGTTTCCATGTTCAGACGAGCTGGGTTGTGGATGCCCTATGTAAAACTTCTTTATGTCTCATAGCTGGGACATTACTGGGACGAATGACTATAATATGGAACTGACTTGTTTATAGTTTAAAAGCAAATCGTTTTACTCCTATTTCATGTGTGTGGGGGACTTTGAATTGACTGTGCTGGTTGTTTCTTTGACATTTTCTTGTGTTATTCTTCAAAGTGATTCAAGTATATAATCATCACCTTAATAGCCAATTCAAACATGTAATAATCATGACCCTGTCTTTCACTGCAGATTTTCATATTTGTAGCAGCTGAGTATGAAACGCCCCAGAATTCGTTGAACCAGGTACTTTAGGTGCTTGAAATTGGAAGTATGTTCTTTTCCATTTTGGTTCTAATCTTTCACACATTGAACTTTAGCATTTTAAAAACTTATGAGGCAAGTGTGGAGCAGAATCAGTTTGCATTTCTGGTTTCCCTGTTACACATACAGGCACTAGACAAGCCTCTTGAGGCATCTCCATTTCATGTCTTCAAATGTCAGGGTCTACTGCATAAAACTATGTCCACTGCTTAAATCTTTCTGAATGCTTTGTGATAGGTGTCTCTTTGGGATGCTATTATACCTGAAAAAGAGCATGCAAAGCTTTGGATTCAGACCGCAAACAAGTACCGTTTTGTTGATCAGGTACCATCCAAATGAAGTGATTTTTTTTTTTTTTCTTCTCATATTGTGCATTCACACCCATGAGCCACCTGATGTACTGTTGGTTATGTTTCAGAACTAAACATTATTTTTCCTTGTGCAGGGAAGCAATCTCCGCGGTAAAGAATTCAACTTGACGTTGCACTGGCATGTCATGCCCAAGACTGGCAAGATGTTTGCTGACAAATTAGTCATGTCTGGATTCCGCTTGCCCGAGGAGCATAGATGAGGATAGGGCATCTTTGGTGTATGTTTTTGCTGTAACTTTAGCCATTAAATATGGGATGGTAAAGGTCAGCTAAATTAAGATAACAACAGACGGGAAAATTTTTCATGATTGAGGTAGAAATGAATACGACTTGGAATTTCGAGCACTTGATATTTTGGGCATGTGTTACCTCGTCTTCGGTTTTGGGTATTTCCTGCTCCTCCTTTTTCGATGAGGTTAGCCACAAAATCCAATCACCTCTTATGTGCCGTAGAGAGATCACCAATCAATAATTTTGTCTAGTGAATATAGAAACCTTGAACGCCTTGCAAAAATTCAATGGTTGATCAAATGGTTGAATAACCAGAAATCAAACTCCAACATGTTACTGCAGCCTGCAAAAGCAATATTCTACAGCAGAACACCAATCATTGTGGGTTAAATTGTGAGAGGAATTTCCAAGAGGAATCCACGATAGTGAAGAAGAATTACAGAGAGGAGAACAATTTTCATTCATTTCAGTCATTGGCTGCTGCTGTTGCAGTTCAAGAATTTCCCGCAAGAACTAAAGATTGAAATGCAATTTCTAAAAAGAAAAATTTCAAGATTAAGGTTGAATTCCATCAATCAAGACTTAAGATTTGTGAAATCAAAGAATTTATGCTATGAATTTGTATTAAGAAACTGACTTACAAAAATGATTCATTAAAAAAAAATTACAAGAAAATTAGAAAGGAATAAGAGCGAATGCCGAGAAATGCCGCAGTACCAAAAATGAGAGTCTCTCTTGATTTATGTAGTTGTTTGTAGTGTAACGCTACCGACAACTCGCCTAGTTTATTACGGACAACCGACTAATTAACTTGTCACATCAATTTGACAAACGTGAAGTTTTTAACAAAAGGAAGGGGGTCTATTAAGCTAATGTGATCTGGTTAGTTAGTTGTCAAATTAGCATGCTTTTTATTGAAGTGTCATTGGCTTAATGAATTAATCCACAATTCACTTATGGTCCTTTAACTTAATTTGCAAACTCAATCCCAAATATCCCTACAACCCTTTCAACTTTAGCAACTTCATCTCAATTCTAGCAACTACATTAACACCCCCTGCTCGAGCGACATTGTCCTCAAGGTCAAAGCGACGTAAATGTCTTTTAAGTTCAAATGCAAATTCTCAAGTAGCATAAATGATTGATCCATTAGACCATTACACCAACAACTTAGTAGCTACTTGATTATCTCTTTTACCATTTTAAGATTCAAAATAACCACTAGAAACAAAAAAAACTATCAAATTTTTTTTAAATTTTATTTATTTTTTTTTTATAGGAAACTACCCTTAAACTTTTATGTATCCATAAGTAGGTTTTAGTTGAGATATATCAATAAAAAATTGAGGAGGAAATTGTAATGTACATGTCGCTTCTCTAGTCTTGTCAATGATCTAAAAAGAACCATAATATTTTGGAGATAGCTTTTAATTCTTACGAATAGCGAGACTTGAAATTTTCATAGGTTAGAGTTGAGTAGTAACCTCGCTATGAGGACACATTAGGGTGATCCCGATCATATATAGTTATGTAATCAACACTTTCATCGAAAACTCTTAGGACCGACCTCTTAAGTTTTTCTTAGTTTTCATTTTTTATAAAACCGACTAATGATTCTATATTTTGAATCATATTTATTTTACGATCGTCAATAGGTCATCGTGTGACACTCTCAATCTCTTTTCATCTAATATATTATTACGTGATAGTTTCTTTGTCTCAATACCAATTAAAAGGCTTACTCCATTTCTCTTGACAGTTTCAAAATGACAATTTTGAATACAAAATTGTATTCAAAATTGTCATTTTGAAACTCGTCAAGAGAAATGGAGTAAGCCTTTTTAATTGGTATTGGCATTATTTTTTAAATTCATCTATAAAAGTTGGCCGATAAGGTTTGTAAGTATGTGAAAATTTACAGTATTGGGTTTCTAGCTAAACATAGAAGGATTATTGTTTGATCTTCGATTGAATATAGAAGGAAGTTTGGTGTTAAATATGTTTGTATTATGTTGAATGTTGGGGTTTATTTCTTGAAGTTTGGCTATGTAACATCCCCGACTAGGACTTAAGTTGGTTGAGAATATTATCAGCAATGCCTCACATTCCAAGTGCAATGAATGAGAGACACTAAGTCTCATGTCTTTTACTATCTTGATAATTAATATTTTCTGCGAAATTTTATTTAATTTAATATTTAGGTCCATCCTTAATATAAAAAGTAAGTTCATAAGGTTTTCAAAACATAAATTCATTTAATAGGAATACTAATTATAACTTAAAAATTCATTTTAACTTATTTAATGGAAATCCTTTCTAGCAAAACATTTTTTAAAACTAGTATTTAATATATAATAGAAATCAATCCATTAAATCATGTGAGTATATATGCATAAAAAATTATTAATATAAAACACCAAATAAATTTTTTTATATAAAATTTTGGATTGAAACATAATAAATTGCCTCTTTAAATTTCTCTAATTATTATTATAATTTTTTTTATGGAATAATCAATTTAATCTTAGTTAGTTAGTAAACCATTTTAAAGTTGAATACCATTAATCATTTTATTAAATCTATAATTCCTCCAAAACGTTATTTTATAACCTCCAATTAATTGGAAAATCATAAGTTTATCCCTAAGTAAAAATTTTGATTAAAACCTCGGTTTAGCCCATTGAAAGCCAAATGTTGTGCTAAGCCCTTTGGAAGCTAATTTGGATTTCTTAACCATTTAATCAATAATTACCAATTAATTACCATTTCATTTAATTCTTGAATACCAATTAAGATTAACTTATTTCCATGATTAAAACATTTTATCAAGTCATTTATTAATTTAAACCATAAAACCAAATTTAACTACTAGTAAACACCCATCTTTATTTACTCATTAAAGTTGTCTCACCAATACTATTAATTTACATGTCATAAGAACTAATCCTAGAACACTTAGTAGTGTCCAAAAACATGAAATAAAAAAAAGTTTAGGTGTTTTAACTCACATCTACATTTTAAGTACACATGTTGGCAAACTAGGGTTCGTTCGACAACGACCTTAAACTTGAAACACACCTTCATTTAGCTTTTTTTCTCACCTACACCACAAGAAGAAAAAGTGAGCTATGCTTAATAAATGTAAGTCCATGCATGATATGCACATGATGCATATAAAATCCTTTCATGTTTTTGAAATTCATTTTCCTCTTCGAGTGCATCTTGCTGAATGTGTATATATTCAACATTCATTTAAAACATGCAATTCCGAAAAACACAAAAGTACTAGACTCATTCCTTTTTTTTTATCCTTTTCCTTTTCTTTTTTCTTTTTCCTTCACAAGAGGTTAATCATTCCTCTTGTAAACTTTTTGAATGTGTCTACCTAATTTCTTTTGAAAATCATGTCATTTCCTTTTCTTTTCATTAAAAATCATGAAGAAAATCATTTTTATGATTGTAGAATGAATATGCATGTAATGAAACGCATTACCTTAACCTTCACATGAACATTTAAGCATTGACATGTGCTACATAAATAATTACATGCATATGGTCAACAATTACACAAACATATATCAAACAACATTAAAAATAAAGGTTGATCGAATCATATAATGTCAATTAACTTAAGCAATTGAAACATTTCACACATCAATAGACATGCATATTAATAATTAAACATATAAAACACATACCAATAAACTCAATTTAACCATATAATCTAAAATTCATCAACTAGCACGTCAAGATTAGCCTTGGCTGAATCACCTCACTTGGTATGCCTAATATTCCATCTCCAAATTACACATTTAAACACTTCAATTCATGTTTACATAACTCCATAAATATGATTTCTTCATCATTACATAAAAGGAATTCAATCTTCCTCAAATATGGATTTGGCCAAAATATACAACCAACATATTCAAGGTCAATTCTTTAATTAAACACATATATTCATATCCTAACAACCATATAAACATTAAATCAACACAATTACATAGACTAATTAAATGAACCCTTAATTTGAGTCCTAGCCGAATTATCCCATCAATATAATCAAGTACAAATTTTCAATTAAACATATGAATTCATGTTTATCCAACGTCACAAATATTAAAACAACATAATTACATAAAACTAAACCAAACTTCCCAAACTTTGCACTTAGTCAAATTTTATAGCTCAAAATCACCAACTTTCAATTCTCAATTAAACCTTAATTAAACTTCTAAACATGACAAATCCTCAATTATAACCAAGATCACATCAAATAAATCATCATCAATTCTCAATCATTTAACATAAAAAATATGAAATTCTTATGGTATAGTTGGGACCATACTTACCTTGATTAATGCTAAGTTCAATTCCGCCTTGAATTCCATGAAAATCCTTCCTCCTTTCCGCCTCGCAAGATTCGACCAAGACCTAAGTTTCTCCTCTTTCTCCCTTTGGTCTTCCCAAGTGAATCCAAGATGATTTTATGGTTTTTTTTGGTGATAATTTGGTGTTAAGGTGGTGGATTAGCTTAGTTTTTCCTTCTTGTTTGATGATTTTATGGTTTGTTTACTCGGACCAATTATGGTCTTAGTAATTTTTGCTCACCAATGTCTTTCTAGTATTAAGGATTTATATTTTTGCCCATATAAAAGCTTCATATGGTGGAATATCAATATTGGCCTAGTAATTGTTGTTATAAGCAAACTCGCCAAGTGTAATTATTTCTCCCACCTAGTAAACCAATCCGAACACAAGCTTTTAACATATCCTTTAGTATCCGGTTTACTCTCTTAGTTTATCCATCACTCTGTGGATGGAAGGTTGTGTTGAAATTATAATTGGTTCCCATCAACTGATGTAGACTCTAGAATCTTAGTGTGAACCACAAGTCTCAATCGAATACAATCAAAACTAAAATCCCATGCAATGTCATAATCTTTTTTAGATATAATTTTTCATACTA